TATATACAAAATGCGTGTAAAAACGAAGCATCCGTACGTGTGTGTATGTGTGTGTGTGTGTTTATGTATATATATATATATATATATATATATGTATATTCATTAAATAAAATTCATGGCATAAATTATTGCTATAAAAATCTCCTGTTCAATTAATTTAATATCGAATTATCCTCGCTGTTGTGAGTCCGTACTTTATATTTCCAAGAAACTTTATCAATAATTTGCAAGAATTTCGTAATGTAATCCATTTTATTCCAGTCGCGGCGATGCGTTTACACACATGCATATACATGTGTCGCATTACGGAATGGCTTTTAATTTATAGTATCGTGACGCGAATGCAACCTAATGTCCGCAGGCTAATAAATTTTCCATAAAAATACCTCGTAGACGCGGCCATCGGAGACCGCTGGACCACTCGATCGTATCGCGTTTCAGCTTCGTGAAACTCTACAGCACGATATCAAGCATTATTGATACGCGTTTCCTTCCTCGTGTATCTCGGATAGCTCTTAACATTATAAACTTTAAACAGAGGAAACCCGATGCGCGACCGCATCGTGGCATCCATCAAAATTTTAAAATTATCGAAACACTCTTTCCTAATAACACTAATATGGATTCCATATCTGCAAGTAAGGAGAAAAATAAAAGTGACAAGAGAAGAGGAGGAGAGAAGAGAGAAAGAAAAGTAAATATCCATGTGTTTCTATATAGTGATTTTAAATTAAACATAATTTTGATAATTTTCTGCTTTATCTGCGGGTATTTCTTAGGTAAAATTCTGCGCTAACATAAAAAACAGAAGGACTTGAATTTTAATTTTCTTTCCATCACTCTGATTTTTATAATCATAGATAATAGAGAAGTTAACATGTAGAGAATTAATATATAGAGAATTAGGAAATGTCAATACTATTGTTTTCAGAATTAAAGATCTCTCTTTTGAAAACCACCCTCGAGAGACGAAATCTTCTCGAGTTTCCACGACGGCCATACAATTTTAGCGCAGACTTGTTTCGCGGATGAAAATTGATAAAACGTCCACGTATAATTCTGGCCTTACGAAGCACGGGCGAATCACATATCGCTTCTCGCGTAGGATAAGAAAGGGTACCCATGGCGTTACGTGACTTCTGTACAGATAACGGCCGTACACTCTCGCGAAAATCTCGCAATGCGCTCGCTCGGTCTGACAGTTTCCCGCGATATTCGGCTTCGCTCCCTCGGCCTCCCACCCCTCAAACGCGACGCGACGTTAATTTTAATGACGCGCTTGAGCTTGGCGGCTTGCGAAAGCCGCCTCTATGAATACGCACTTAGATGCCGGTAATTCGGGTGTCTTCTCGCAAATCACCCTTCTGAAGATAACGCGGGAGAGGCCTCTGATTCATGCGGAAGGTGATTACGTAACGCACATGGTGTCGTAGGTAGAACTATGAGATGAAATATACGGGGAAATATAATACGCGATATCAGGTTAACTTATAAATTCGTGCACATTTCTAGAATTAAGCACGGGGTGACAATCGGGAAGTTGCTTAAATTAAATGACTGTTACTTTTTAATGGACAGAGTGAAATGAATTAAACATCACTTACGACAGGTTTGTTCTACAATATATTAATTTTCTCATTACAAACTATTAACAGCTATTTCATTTCAATTGTGATTTCTCAATTGCCAACCTGTACATAAAATATTATCCATTTATTTTCAATAATAAAGCTTCCTTTTCTGCACATCATTCATCATCAAAATCTATTGATGAAATTGACAATCATGAATTTATATGCGTAATAAAAATGTATCGATTTATGAAGTTGATCTGACAATACAACGACATTATACGAATTATTTTTAAAATTCAATCTATATATTAAATAATATCATGTTACAATACAAAATAACCACTATGCATTGTAATATAATTATAATATTATTTGTATATTTTGTTTCATTAATGAAGCAATATTATCATAAATTCAGTTGCCACTGATCTTCGTTGTACTGCGACAATTTGCACAGTTTATATTACGGCATCGACTCAAACGACGCGTGAGCTTGCCACATTTCAAACGTGCAAACTAGTTATAATAACCGGCCGACGAACTTTGTATAAATACTTCGTATAAATATCCGGCTTGACGCAGTGTATCGCTAATCCATTGGCGAGTCGTAATTTTGCCGAAACTACAGTCGTTGCGCAAAGCTACGCTAATATACGCGGCACATTTTAATTGTAATTATTTTAATTGTAACAAATTTTGGTAAGTCCCATCATTTTCGCGAAATCAATGTTACGAGGATAAAAAATGAATGTAAAATTTATTTCCATCTCTTAAATGTTAAATTAAATTTTATCTTTTTTTATACCGATAATCGGATTTAATAAAATTTCATTGTTGTAATAAATGATATCTTGTATAAATAGATTTTAACTTTTTCCATTTTTATATATACATATATAT